GCACTGGTAAAGAGGTTGTTAAGGTGACATCAAAGGAAGGAACAACTACAAACAAATTTCAGTTGTTTAAGCATCCAGTGTCTTTCTAAAAAAATATCCGAGAAACACACCGCAACAATAATGACACAGTCTAATCTTGTGCCGTAAAAATCGTCTAAAATAGGGAAACAAAACAAGATCAGACCTAATTCAAACTGCTATGGTTTTCCATCTTCATCAATAATTTCGACACGTTGTTTTGTTGTAAACGTGGTGTCGAAACTAATTACATAACAGCCAATCTCTTCGCTCAGTGTACAGTTTGAAAACAAAGGTAGTAAACAAGAACTTAAAAAATAAATTCATAATTCTGTGAAGCAACTTAACTACTCTAAAGCTGCTATGAATATACATTTTACAAAAGCAAGTATTATCAATTTAACCAATAATAATAAAAAACTTACAAGGTGCTGACGCACAAATTCGTAGAAACGCCTTTCGTTTTCATCAGTGTAGTCCTCAGCCATATCCATATTCCATTTCTGTAGTTTCAGATAACATGAACGTATTTCTCTGGTGAGAGAAACCTTATCTGAGTCTGAAAATAAAATGTATTTCCAGCAATAATTTTAACAACTTTTTCTTAACGACTTTCGAAAATCAAAATAAAGCAGTCAACCAATTTGAATAAATGAAATATTGAAATGTCGAGAACAGCAGAAAAGTTCTTCTATAAGGTTAATATACCAAAAGTTTGTAATTCACAAATAAGAGTGCACTAATGAGGCAATAGGTCGTGAAGCCAATCAATAACGCAAATTTAAAAAAAAAAAAAAAACGCATAATCCTTCCAAGAAAACGAGAGAACTAAATAAGACTGTTATACAACTGAGCAGTTACATCCTTCAAATGCAAAGTCTTCTTTCGTTTTTTCTGCTGCAAGCTATATTTTCACGATGCCCTACATAAATGACTTCTTTTCCTCCTGTATAAACAAAAATATCAAAATTTCTTCTTTTATACGGTTTCCAAAAACACTCTGATCTGAGAATAATTACAGAATATGTGAAAGAATGTTTAATTCCATGCTGAAAATGACAAGAATATTTTCAAACCTTCCGGTCCCAAACAGTATACATAGACGCACACACATGAACGTCTTAAGAATGTGACATATGAAACATTCTAAATGCCAAAAATTAAAGGCAATTTAAAAACACTTTGGAGTATATTGTACGGACAAGACGCTACTGTGAAATAAAACATCTGAACCACTGATTATTGCTCTCTCTTTTCTCTCCCCACTTTTCCTCGGAACGTTTTGAACAATAATGTATCATCATCATAGACCGTTCAATAACAAATTCCACTCTATATACAAACCACAGATTCTAGCTGCACCATACTATCAAAGCTTTACATTCCTCATTACTGAAAGTGTTGAATTGATTCCTCCATCCATTTCTCCCTTCCTTTCTTTCACCACTTTGCTTCTCTCCTTTTCTTTAAATGAATTATATGGTTCAAACTAACTAAACCATTAATGCGTTCAATTAAGTATACAAAATTCTATAAATAAAAAAGTCATACATGATCAGCTCGAGCAAAACAAGGAACTTACTTGTCATTAACATTTGTTACAAACTTTAGCCTGTAAAAAAAAAAAAAAAAAAAAAAAAAAAAAAAAAAA